GAGTGTTTCCACATAGACACCCTGATGGCAGAGATAGTATGCAGGAGGTGTGAGGTATGGGGGCCTTTAACCTGACAGGCACTTGAGGGAAGTTCAAGTGGGCACAGAACAGAAAAAAATGTGTGTTGGAAGTGGGAGGTCTGAGACCTCTTACCTGTCTAGGCTGAATGGACACAGACATAAATTTGTATGTTGAGCCATGTCTCAAAGACCTTCTTCTGTAGCTAATTTTTCTCCTGTTCTGCCCAGCCCCATGGACCCTGCAGCCACTTATAAAATAATCACTTAGAAGCTTATATTAATCAAAACTGCTTGGCCATTAGCTCAGACCTACCACTGACTAGCTCTTACACTTAAACTCAGCCCATTTTTGTTAATCTGTATGTTGCCATGTGTCCCGTAGCTTTACCTGTGTGCCTTTACATGCTGCTCCCTGGTCGGTGGACTGGCATCTGCTGACTCAGCCTTCCACTTTGCAGAATTCTCCTCTCTGCTTATCCTGCCTGTACTTCCTGCCTGGCTGTTGGCCAATCAGCATTTTATTTATCAACCAATCAGAGCAACACATTCACATCATACAGAACATCCCACAGCATTCTTCCTAGGACCCATTCCCTTAGTCCTCAATTATGGAAGCTCAGGGACATTAGTGGACTTAGTCAAGATTATACCAAACATCAGGGAAAGATGCTCAAAATATGGATGGAGTGACAGCTGACTGTAGGATACCACAGGAGAGGATGGGGATTCTGTTAGGGTTCTATGTGTTTTAGATAAGGATGAGTAGGAAGGATCTATAGGATAGGTAGGCAATCTACATGAGTAAGTAGAAGAGAATGTGAAGCATGATTTCCGGATTGGACTTGTTAGGTGGATGTCTGCTGAACACCACTGACCAAGAGTCAGCAGTGGAGGAGCTCAGTGGAGTTTGAGTGTTTAAGGAGGCGACAAGAGGTGACGTACAGAATTCACATAAAATTAACAGTGGCACGACACAATCAAGATTCGTGACCGCTTATTGAATGCTGTATTCATTACTTTTCTCGTTGCTCTGACAAAGTGTTCAACAAATGCAATTTAAGGAAGGGAGGTTATGGTGGGAAGGGACACAGTCCCGGGTGCAGGGAGAGAATGCCAGTGGGTTCTGAGAGAAGCATCTGGCCATACTGCATCTGTAGTCAGGACATAGAGAGAGATGAATATTAGTGCTCAGCTCTCTCTTTCCTTTATGGTTTTCTTTGAGTCCAGGGCCCCTGCCCATGGCATGATATCACCCACATTCAGGGTGGTCCTTCCATCCTCAGCTAAGCGTCTATGATAATACCCTCACAGGCACACCTCAAGGTGAATCCAGTCAAGCTGATGATGAAGGTTAGTCAGCACAGGTACCAAGGGCCATCCTCAGTGCAGTATATACATCAATTTAATAAACACAAAACCTTATGAAGAAAGTAGCCGGTGTAAAACTGGGGACAAAATCAAGGGGGCTTGGTAATATTCTTGGGGTATCCCAGAGGGTCAGTGGTGAGGTTCTAACTTGATCCCAGATAATCCTGCTGCAGAACCTTCATTCGAATTTCTCCCGAGACACTTTCCCTCATATCAAAGAGTGGTAAACTCTTCCTGGGCACAGAGAATAATGGCAGGATTTTGTGTCGCTCCTATGTGAGAGTCCTTATCTTTCACACAATCATCAACACATATTTTGGTGTTGGGGAGAAAGCAGTGTAGAGAAATAAAATTAAATAAGATTTGAGCTCTGAAACAGTAAAGGTTAAAGGCCACATGGGACTTTGTTATTTTGTTTTTCTCATTTTTTTCTACTTATGTGAAATTTTTCATAATAAAAACGTTTTTAGTTGATTATTTCTGTTTGAAGGAGAAACCAGAGTTTGTGCAATAGTATCCTTCAGATGTAGCAGGAGAGGGTGATAGCAGAAATAAGACCCCCAAACAAGAAAGTCATTAAAAATTATCTCCACCACATGACAGACAGCACAATGATCACACACAGCCTGGATATGTCCACATTTACACATTTATTTGGGTTTAGAGAGAAAACACAGGTAAAATACTTTGATGATACACAAGTTTATATTTGGTAGGAAGAACAGGTTGCCACATGTCTGTATATTTTATTTTTATTTTTATTCTGTCCTTAGTAATGGAGGGGTACTGGGGAAATGTTGACATTATTCAGAAACACCATTTGGTAACAAGATCTTGGCACACGAAACTAATACACAGTGTTTGCATTTAGCACTTGGAAACAGAAAAGCACGTGCAAGATGATACCTGGTTTGATGGTCTTTGAATTTTTTTTCCTGCTACTATATTTACACCTGTGCTTCCTTTGTCCATGTTCTGAGGAGCAGCACCTCCTCCGAGTCCCCACAGAGTCAGCACCTGCAGCATCAGCAGCTTGTGACACTCCATAATCGGTTTCTCTAGCCTCAGAGATGAACCAGTGTTCACTTTACATTTTGTGTGCAATCACACAATTCTCAAAGAGATTTCCTAGGGTGGGGCTTAGCTGAGGTTATGCTCTCTATAAGAGCTGATGCAGAGGGCACACAGCTTGGGATAGGGTGAGAGGGTGAGGGAGCAGAGAGGTGAGGACAGGAGCCAATGCAAGCGTAGTTCTCACAGTCTCAAAGTTCAACATTCAATACAGCTACCACAAAGAAGAGGACACACTGATAATTGTGCAAGCTTTTACAGCAACACAGGTTGATTTGCAACACCACGCAATTCAATATAAAGTGCACAACCCCAATCTGAGGTGACAAGACAGTACTTACAATGTACTAAAGGTAACACACACACACACACACACACACACACACACACACACACACACGATTTTTCTTTTCTCAAATCCTCTGACAGTACATGAACTCTATACCACTTAGAGATCTCAGATAAACACACACTGCACTTTTTTCAAGTATTTAAATAATAAATGAAATATTGCTGTGTAAATAAAAATGGCCATATCAATTCTGATTAAAGCTGAAACCAATGCTTTTAAAGGAAAAAAAAAAGGTCACAGATAGACTTTTGGCACTGGGAATTTGGACCAATGTTCAATACAATCTCCCCCCATTATTCTTTCTTCCCATCTTCCCTCCTTCTCTCTCAAGTGGATGGCAGATCTAATTAAGGTATTGGGATCTATGAAGTTTGCATTTGCCTCCTTCTCTAGGATACAGTGGGAAGAGATTTCCACATCTAGGCTCCTAGAAAATTTGAGGGGGAATCCGTAGAAGAAGGGGATAGGAGATTTCATTCCAGTAAAAAGCATTTTGCTGGAATCTCATACATGGACACAAGCTCTTTTTCAAGCGTGCCGTCTCATCAAACTAGAAGCTAGCTTGTGCTACCAAGCCTGTCCCCCAAGGGCTAAGCTTTCTGTCTGTCAGGACACTAGGCCCTACTGCCTTCTCTAAGTGGGACAGTGGGTTTGATAAATGAGTGTCTCTTCCTGTGAAATGAACTCTTTGGGCCTGAGGCTCAAGACGAATGGACAGCTGCTGGTTTACTCTCTGCGGCCATTTTCTTGAAAGGAAAGGCATGCTCGCCCACTAGAGAGTACCTAAAATGGGAGGCTCTTCTCTCATGCAGCTCTGCTTCACAGGGAGTTTTCTTTTCAGTGCTCCGGGGAATCCATTGGCTTTCTAGACAGCAAGGGCCTAAAGCCACACTCATACCTAGGACCAGTATGTTTTCACATAGCCTGATCAAATAAGGTCTGGGTCAAAGTCATGCACATTTGTGATAGTTAAGGACATGGCCTTCTTTCTTTGTTCCTGGAGTCTTTCTGCGTTTTGAAATGCCTGTCGCTATGGAGTAGGAGAATGCATCTGGACCTGTACATTTCCATTTGTGTGTAAAAGGCTGCAGTTCTACCAGCACACAGGTCTGTTTCTACGTGACTCTAAAGTTATCATGGGAGCTGTGGATAGCTCTCCATACAGTTGACAGGGAAAGAAACTTACTTTTAAAATATTATTTTGAGTTTTTGTGATCTGTGCATATTCTGGTCACTGTGGATCTTGATGGGAGGCAGGTAAAGGATCTTAGGCTATCTTGAAAGGCATGAACAAGAAACTAATTTCAGGAAAGGAAAATAGCCATACGGGATATTAATTCGCTACTGAGGATCTGGAGGTAGGGAATCTAGCAGGAGAGACTTGAGTGTAGGGTAAAGAAGGAATTTGAATAAGAGAGTATACAAGATGCAGACGACCCTTCCCTCAGAAAGCAGCAGAATGGCATTTGGGACGAAGTCATTTTTGTCACACAGAGGTCTCCTACGGCTGGGTTTAACATTCTGAGTTCATCATTCAGGAATGTGTGCTATACCCCTCTTTGCTAGGGCTGATTAGGTTTTATTTTTAGGTTTTTTTTTCTAATTAATCCAAATGATCTAATAAAAGAATATGGTTTGAAAGGACACTTCAAGAACAAATATCAACCTTCTGTTCAAAGCGGGCTACACAGGAAAGCAGAACAGAATACTTGCCCGGATCTGGGACCAAGCAGGGCTTATAAAGTGGGTCTTCCAGGGTCAACTCATGTAAAGTCTAAACAGGAAGAGAGTTTTAATTGTTGATCTGATCAATTGTTTTTTAGAAGTTTCCTTTTTATGTGTCTGTTTGTTTTGGAATACTATCTTTAGGGAGATGATAAGCCATAATACATTCTAAAGTAAGTTATTACACTTTTAAATACTTTTGTGAGTTTCTATGTTAAAATTACCTTGATAAAGTGTTTTATTGTGCCTCCATGAAAAGAGAGAAAGAAAAAAAATAAGGAAATAAATCTGGCTTAGGTTTCATATCTGCCCCTGCAGTTTGTATAACACATATAAAATAAAATCTATATGTTACAAAATAGGATTTCTTTTAATATATATATTTTTTCTTTTTGTAAAATTATATGTATTTAAATACATTTGAAGTGTTGCTCTAGGTAAATTAGAAATTTTTTTCTAATACTATGAAAAAGGCAAGAGTTTTTATTGTCAGCGTACATTTTCTATTTACTTTGTCCTTTTCACGGCACCCCAGAGAACCTTTTATGATTCAAGGGTGATTTGGCACTATTCAGTACTACTGCTCTGAAGTGAAAATAAAGGTGGATTGGCATACTATATTAAAAGGGAAGTACTTATATCAACTTTATGCTTTCTCTTACTGATTAGAACATAGCCTGTTGTCACTAATTGTTACAGAAGTATTCTAAACTTAAGAAAGGACTTTTAAAAGGAATGATGTTTCTTTTTTTGTTTGTTTGTTGTTTTGATTTTTTAAACTGTACTCTACTGTGACACCACAATATAGAAATAGTTTTACTTTGGAACGACTACAAATACATTTACACAATTTGGAACAACTTAACTGTCTACCTAGAGAATTCCAACAGTTTGATGAGTGAGGTGATTACAAATCCTGCCCCAGGCGTTCGATTTCTTCGATGAGGAAGTCAATGTCTTGGTGAGTTGCTGCAGGGTTGGAGATGACCATGCGGAAGAAGTTGACCTTGTCTCCCAGGGGTTGGTAGCTGACCATCGTGGTCCCGTACTCCATCATTCTGGCTTTAATCACTGGCGCCACCTGTAGGAGAGACCATATCAGTGCAATCAATGGTTTTCTTTCCGTGCCCTCTCTTAGGTTAGGAACCCCACAGCAGGGGATGATTTTGGATTTAACTGAACAGGAACACAGTTTTCATGAGGTCAGAAAATTAAAAAAACAAACAAACCTCAAAACATTAAAAACCCTAAATATGATAAGAGTAACGTACAGTAGGCTAGCAGGCACTCGCCACTTTGATTGTCGAGTTAGGGCTAAATGGTTTAACAGAACTAGACTGGAGACACCTTCACCCCAGAAAATATGAAGCCACTATAAAGAAAGCATTATTCATAGACTTGGTATGAGGGATAAGCCTTAGTGTCAAGTGATGGGTAAAAGCAGCAGACCTCGGAGGGGCTGGAGAGTTGGCTCAGTGGGGTGAGCGCACTTGCTGGAACACATGAGGACCTGTGTTCCCCCAGCCTGCATGTAACAGAACCAGGAGTGGTTGCACATGCCTGAAACACTGATGCTGTCGGGGAGAGGAGACAGGCTGGTCCTGCAGTTCACTGGCCAGCCAGCCTAGCTGAAATGGTAAGCTTCAAGTTCAGCAAGAGACCATGTATCAAGAGAACATGTCTGAGAGCAATAGAGGAAGACACTCAGCACCCTCCTCTGGCCTCCCCAGGAGGGCAACCCCCCCACTACCACACACACACACACACACACGAAAAATAAGTAAAGATATTATACTTCTGACAACTTTCCTGTGATCCTAAACTTTTCTAGTTTCTTTAATTCTCTTTTTAAAGCCTTTAATGATATGAAGAATTATCTGGGAGTAAAAAGCTGAATCCACAAGACTTCCTATACAGAAGACTATTTCAGATAAGATCACAGTATTTATGTTAGACTGTTCATTGCAGCTTCATAGGTTCTTTTTACTGTTTCAAATTGAGTTCATGCTCCCTAGCTCGGCACAAAGACCTTTTGTCATGAGCTCCAAGGATTCATCTTCAACTGCTCACCAAAATGAATCTACAGCTCTGACAAGAGCAATTTATTATCTATCCCTTGAACCATTTACATTGCCATCATTTCATGGCTATCATCAGTCTTTCTGTGGCATGCTTTCCCAGTCCACATCCTACGGAGTACTCTGAAGGACTTCACATCCTGAGTACTCTGCAGGATTCCCCCACAGTGCTACAAGTGCTGCAAACCAGTTCCTGACCATCTTCATCTTTCTCCTTCTAAGTTGTAACTGCATGGTCCTCACCCGTCGAGTCTCACAATATCCTAATTTCTTAATTGACCTTTCACTGATGAACACATACATTTTCTTGTTCTACCTCATCTGTAAGCTGCTGGAAGCTAGGCACAGTACCTTTTCATTCCTTTGTTCCCTAGCACAGCGCAGGGAAGTGTAGAGGGCTTTCTGAGTTCTAACTGATATGGCAGTAGCTCTCTAAGATAAGACACACATTCCAGGTCCATCTACTCAGATGTGTGATCTGTCCACATGCATTTGACACTGGAGTCTATAAATATAGTATCTGATCTTTGATGTTCATAACAAAGATACAGCCAGAAATGCGAAGTCAGACATGATTTCAACTTATGTGGGATGTACATAGTCAGAAATTTAGTTGAAAATGGGGACCATCTCTTATGTCACCAGCAGGCCTCTTTGTAATTAAAAATATATACTTGTTTCCTCCTAATGGGGATGGTATTCATGAAATAACATACAGTTATCATGGAAATGTATTTTCACTATATGTTATAAAGCTTTTGTGTTTTAAATCTTAGAAATGCACGAATGAAATGGGAAATAGAACAGTCATTAAAGAGATACTTAGTAATGATAAAACCTTACCCAAAAAAAAAAAAAAACACGCCTCAATTACAGACCTTTACAAAGTCACCTCAAGTATGAGGCCAAATTGCTTCTTTACCAGTTTGCTATTAAATCCATTTGTTGGCTTTTTGAAAATCATCAATTAGTGGAGGACTACAAAAGCTGATAAAAGAGATGCAAATAATGATCAAGAATTGCTGGGCCTGGTGGCGCACACCTTTAATCCCAGCATTTGAGAGGCAGAGGCAGACAGATCTCTGTGAGTTCTAGGCCAGCCAGGGCTACCCAGTGAGCCCCTGTCTTGAAACAACAACAATACAACAAAAGAATAATTAAAGAAAGGCCAGAGCTCAGAGGTGGGACAGTTGTCAGGCATGCATGAACTCCCCACCCTTAGAATAGCAACAGTAAAAAAGCTGAGGATGAAGATGAGAGAGGAACCAGAAGCAGGGGAGGTGGGGCATGGAGCAGCCTGTCTGGGCAGCTGGAAATGCACCTACCAGATCCTCATCTTGACATCCTCATGATGGGGTGAATACTTGTATTAGTAATAACCACTTCTGTTATCTAGATTTTTGTTGCCTGCCAGTGAGCTCATTCACCACTAAGTTTGGTCAATGTTCCCTTCCTTATGTAAGCAAGTATGTGAAAAGTACTTACTGTAGACTGAACATTGTGTCCCCTCAAGTTTCTATGTTGTGATCTTAATCCCCAATTAAGAGATGGGGTTCTTGGGAGGCTTTACCTTATTAATTAGTAATTAGTTATTAATTAGTATTTAATTAGTTATTGATAATTAATTATTAATAACATGGCTTTGCCCTATATATGAGACCTCAGTGAGGCCTTTTCTTTCTTTCTGCCAGAAGAGGGGATAGTGAAAACAGGCTATTGATGGACCAGGAAGTGGGGCCTCAGCAGATACGGAATCGGCTGGCTTCTTGATCTCAGATTTCCCAGCCCCCAGAACTGTGGGAGATCAATTCCTGTTGTTCATAAGCCACCTAACCTGTATAGTTCATTATATTGCAAACTCCCGTATCTCAGTACTTTAGCTCAACAATTGACCTTCAGGTGGGTTTTTGGCCTTATCTTGTCCAGAATTTAACTTTATTCTCTCTCCAAAATGCAGGTGCACACATGGGAATATGCACACACATGTATATTAGCATACCCGTGTGAACATGTACCCTCATATACAACATACACTGACAAATAAAAAAAAAAGAGTCTACCACATGTGAGTTTCATTCTGCTGAAGAATGTGGTGCTGGATTGCTAAAGGGCAGATGTTAATATCTAAAACCTTTCCTGAGGGTTTTTCATCTACAGGAATCTTACTCTTCCCTTTATGTGGAGGGAATGAATTGTTCCAGAAGGTCAGTAAGATAAGGTGAGAGTCTTAGAAGTGGGAAGTACATGTCTGCCTAACCTGGCTGTGTCTTCAGCCTCCTCTAGTCACTGAAAAAAAAAATGCCTAGAGCAGCTCACCTTCTGGAATTCAAGTATATACGGTCACCCCTACTTTCCCATTCCTACAGCACTGTGACACTGTACACCAAAAAAAAAAACATATTTCACCCATGTGTAGATGTTGGGAGCAGGTAGAGATTAAAGGTTAAAAACAGTACTTCCTGATCAAAGGAGACTTTGAAGCTTCTGGAGTCAGACTTACATTTTCTCCCTGTCCTTCAATAAAACGAGACAGCAACAGTGCTTGGCCACATCAACTCACACTTGATGCTATGTAACTTTAAGTGACCTAAAACCTGATAAATGTTGAGCCTGGGGCAACAATGAACATTGTAAATGGTAGCTGTTAATATTATTGCTCCTTCCCTTGGGTAGCCTTGACCTTGGTATCTCAAGAGGGCCTGCAGCAGCCTTTTTTTTTTTTTTTTTTGACGATTTCTGATACTTGAAGTCTCTTTTGTACTTGTAACCGAGTATCTGTTTCCCTTCAAAACCCCTGAACCTTTGAGGACTGTTCTTGGTGCTTTCTGAATGTCAGTGGAGATTATCACCCAATCAATTATTTTAAGACATCATAAACTCTCTCTCTAGAAACAAGCAAATGGAATTGTGAAAAGTCAGGAAACACAGACTTTGCACATCCTGGCTCTGTGGGAGCCCGCAGAGGGGATGGGTCCAGGTATCAGCTGGTATTCCCCACAAAGATGTTGCATGTGATAAAGAAGACACATCTATCCAATGACCCCTCAGCATCTACCTTAGAGAGGCGGCTCATTCTCTCTTCGTTGTCTTCCAGAACACGCAGACTGGGAGGCACGAACCAGAAACACACATTTGTGTGCTGAGGCTGCAAGGAAGAAAATTCAGACCCGGTTCAGAATCCCAAGGACGGTTCAGATGTGCCTGTTCCTCAGGTTCAGAAAATAATCCCTGCATTTAAATGAGCAATTGCCCTGGGAGTGTCTCACTTTCATACTCTCTAGAATTATTTGTGAGTCTGATCTTTATTCCAGCTCCAAGGAGCCATCCCACCATCTCTTGCTTCCCCTTGTAACGGTCCCACTTAGCTAGACAGCGCATTACTGATGTCAGAAAACACCAGGGGTAAAGAGTGGGATTGAAGACACGTCTGGGGACTGTTGAACTGGGAGTACATACCTTCCCATCAAACACCATTTCATAGCCTTCCCGGTTTTTTATGATATTGTATAAATACTCTGCCAGCTCCAAACACTTATCAATATGTGCTTCAAACCCAGTAGTCCCCTATGAAAGAGAAGAAGGAAAAACATTAGGCAGACTAGGCATGTGGGTAGCGCTCAGCTGGACATGGGGAAAGGATGTGAGTCCTCTGGAGACTGCCGGTCATCCTGCCTGGTCAGCTCCGCCATGCTGAGACTCCTCCTGGAGCCTCCTCTGCTGACTGCTCCCTTTTAATCTCCCTCCAGGTGCATTTGTTCCTTTTCATTACTAGGGCCCACAGCTGACTCCTTTTGTTCCCAGGGCTTAATTCCCCAGGCAATTATTTTGATTACTCAAGGGGAAAATTTGCCTCTGCAGCTCATAGATGCAATCATGGAAGTCATTAATAACAGAAGGGCTGGGCTAGTCTTTTCCTGTAGACAAGAAGCTTTTGTCAGGGGACCTCCCACATGCCTGCTCGGCCCCCCACTAGTGTTGCAAATTATCCATCCTCAAACTCCTTAATATGCCTCAGTAAGAATAAACAGGCACTCACTGAATGTCAGTTGATCAAACAAATGAGTCTTAGGAAGCCTGTCATTCTGCCCAGCTTTTTGGTGGTGTCTTTTGTGATGATGCATGACTCATACGTCAGCTGAGTGAATATGCCATTGAAGTCTTTTACTCCTCAGCACTGGAAACCTTGGGTCCGGACTTACAAAACAGAGTATAATAGCTTTGGACTGGAGCTATTTGACCAATGTCTGGGCACACTAGAGAACTGATTTTCAAAATGCCTTTCCTCCTTTAGTACCTGTATTTGGTAAGTGCAAATGGAAATCTCAGAAAAGCAGTTAATGCACTTGGAACTCGAATACCACCTAACCCAGCATGGGAACCAAAGGAAGCAACTGTAACTATAATGGAGATAAGATGGGTATGTTTTCCCCTTTTATACAGGGCCTTATCATCCCCCAAAGGGAAGACCCAACCCAGCCCATGTAAAGCATGTTTCAGGTCCTAATGCCAGGGGGGAAATGAAAGAAACATCAGGTGTGGATCAAAGAGCATGAGTAGGCCAACCCCTGAGATGAAGGTGAAGGGGCAAGCTTTCCCAGCCTTGAAACAAAAGACCTCAGACAGAGGGGAGAAAGGGAAGGTCACCAGCTGCGTTACTTAAGAGCTTTTTCTGATCTGTTACACAAAGCTTCAAATGTCTGGACAGCCAAGTGGAAAAATTTTCCATTTGGCTTTCAACTTGAAGCTTTTTTTTTTTCCCCAAGATGAAATGGTAAGAGTTATCAAAATAATAAATGTAGTCCCTCAACCTAGACCAGAAGCAAGGATAATTATCCCTTCTGAAGCTCCCTAGCCATGCCTGTCACAGGTGTCAACCTTTCCTGAAGCTCCCTAGCCATGCCTGTCACAGGACTCAGCCTTTCCCTGTAAGAACAACCATGGAAATGTGGCTGTGATGATTACATGGTTGTGAGACAAGACCCTACTCTGAAGATGGGCTGATCTCAAACAACCACCAGTCCTTTTGCCTTAGCGTACTGAGTGTCTGGTGATCTTTCTTTCATGTAAATAGAGAGTCTAGTCAAAATTAAACTAGGTAGGTAGGTAACAAAGTAGGTAACAAAGCAAAGTCAAAAAGTCATCTAAAAGATATGAAGTTGGAATGTGAACTTCGGTTTTGAGAGGTGGAATGGATAAGAAAGTGTGGAGCGACAAGGGTAACTAGAATGCATTATGTAACATGCATGAAACTGTCAACGAATAAACTAATAAAAACATAATCTCTGACCCTTGCAGCCTCCTTATATTTAACACGTCTGTCTCCAAAAGGCTGAGAAGAGGCCCGGCCTGTACTGTACCAACAGCTACAGAAATTACGTTGCTGGTAGGTGAAGGATCATCTCTAGGTAAATTTTGAGGTACACAAAACCCCACACAAAGGACTGGGCACTTCTAGAGTCTTAAAAAAGTGTTTTCTCATTGGGAGTTATCCCTTGAAGTGTCCAAAATAAGCGATCACGGTAGACATTTTTCATTCTGGTTTCCTTCTATAAGCACACTCATCTACCCAGGTGATCGATCAGTCACCAACATGGATCATCAATCAAGATGGAGAGGAGGGCACAAAATAGACCAGACAGCAATGAGGATGACAATGGTAAGAGGTGCCTCTTAAAAAACCAGGGTGCTCTGCCAGATGCATCAATATGGGTTTTTGAGTTGAGAGCTTTAGAAACAACTGTACTTGAGAGGAGACCAAGGACAGGTTTAATTGTGCTCTTGCCTACAGAGAATGTGGGTATGCAGATACAGGACCAAAGAGAATTCCCTGAATAATTTTCTACCTACCAATCTCTTTTTACAACCTTTGTCATATAGGCTTTCTTCTCTTTAGCTGCCATTCAGCTGGTCTATGCTCACCTTTGCTCTCCACATGAGCCATAATTTAAAGACATCCACGTGGCGTCCACACTGCAAGGCCTTGTCTCCAGTGTCATAGGACAGGTCGTAGTGTTTATCTTGCTGAAAGAGGTAGGAAGCATGCATCTGGTTGCAGCTCTGCATCAGTCCCTACAAAAGCAAAGAGAAAGTTCAGGAGAAAACTCTCCTCACTCGCTTTAGCATTGCATTGTGGTGGCAACTGTTAAGAAAGAAAAACCATAGACCCAAATGCCATTCTATCTCATGGAAGAAGAAAACAGTAAGAATTAAATAGAAAAACTACTAGACAAGGCTCTCCCGGCAAGCATCGTAGGCTGATTCTGTGGGATGAAGGCTCGGGTTACCAGAGGTTAACAGAGACACACTTAACACTTTTGTTTTCCTCTTAAGAAATGACATTTATAAAATTACATAGATAAATAAAATTCACAACATGACGTTCATTTTCTGGGAGATCATCTTAATCTAGTTTTATTGTAATTCAGATGTTTCAGAAACCCAACACTTGGGAAGCTGAGGTAGGAGGATTGCTGAGAGTTTGAGATCACCTTGGTCTACGTAGTGAGTTCCAGGCCAGCGAGGACTCTGTACCAAGATCACCCTTTCAAAGGGGAAGACGAAGAAAGAGAAAAAGGAAGGGGAGGCAGAGGCTTCAGAAATGTTTAGGTTCTTTGGTTTTTAAGATTTATTTCATGTGCGTGGGCAGATCCACTTTGCCTGCCTGTATGTCTACCATGTGTCTGTAGTGCCCAAAGGGGACAGAAAAGGGTGTTATATCCCTTGGAACTGGAGGTACAGACGATTGTCACCTGCCTCTGAAAGATTAGCCAGTGCTCTTAACCTTTGAGCCACCTCTCCAATGCCAACTTTCTGGTTCTGAAAATACCATTACTGTGGTTCTTCTAGAACTTTCACGCCTCTGTAATTATTAGAGTTCAAGCTATTCAGTAGCTCATTGCTCTTATTTTTATAAATTGGAATGTAAAAGAAAAAAATCCAAAGACACCGCAATTATGAGTTGAACCTAAAGGAGCAGACTTCCCCATCTCCTCTTCTCCCAAGGGTCGGGCTTGGAGGATGTGTTTTCACCTTCAGTTGCTCATGGTAGTCGCAAAGGAGATTTTCCCAACAGTGACCATGAATTTGCGCAAGCACCACAACAACCCTAATATAGACATAGGCAGCGAAGGGAACGGTGAATGACTCACGCTTCTGACTACAATAGCATTGCCAGTCTCCTCCTGGAAACCCCACCACGATTCAATTGATCGCATCCACGGGAGGCTTCTGACGCCCTGTCAGCTGCTGTGCAATTGTGATTTTCTAAAGGCTCTGGCATTTGGTTTTCTTTCTCGTGTGACTCATGATAAGAGAAGAAAAGACCAAATGTGATCACTGAGCTGAAGCAGAAGTGAGAGCCTTTTAAAAAAGTTATCCAAACTAAAACGCAGAGCCGTGTAGACAATAGAACTGACTCCACCTTTAGCGTGGGCTTCATATTACATGGACTCCATAGCTATCTTTGAAAATAAGAAAAGATAAACATGACGTGTGAACATGAGAGCAGGACGAAGACACTGAATCTGAGAAAGAAAGCCCCCTTACAGATTAGTAAGGTGTAGAATCACAGCCGGCGGGTCTATTTTGTTTCATGGCCACAAAACCTTTGTACCAGTTTTTCCCCAGCGTTGAAAGCCCACAGAAAGGTGTCAGCCATACTAAAGGAAAGAACTTCGGAGAGTATGGGGTGGTGGGCGCGTCAGACCAGCTCCTACTGAAATGAAAAGATTAGTTTGTAGTCCACGATTTCCATGACCGCCACTCAGACAGACCAGGCTTGCCATGTCCACAGAAGCAAACAATGATCTAGGTTCTTACACACCGGCCTTTCGTGAGCTAGTGTCCTGGTTCTGAGCAAGGAAACAATCATAGACCATGGTGTTCCAAACTAGTCTGAACACATGAGTGGGTGCTGCACAGAATGGAAGTCTCAGGTTTAAATAGACTTAGTGACCTATATATTTATATGCCTTGATAATTATAATGTATAACAGAGTATTATAAGGCTTCAACAATCCCTTGGAATGCTAGGATTTGTTCTAAACTCCCATCAACATGTCTTAAGCTTTTTAAAACTGTTTTTTTATTTTTCTTTTACCACAGAATTTCCACCGCAATTTTGTGTGGTGCCATTATTCATTATATTCCAAAAGAGGTGAGGGGGGAGGGGGAGGGATGTGAGAGGGGTGGGGCCAGACGTCATATGCTTTTGGATTTAAGAGGATCTTAGAGTTAAATTAACCTACTTCTTTCCTTTGATTTGTTTTTCTTTTTAATTCTGCATATCAGTGTGTGTGCTGGTTAGTTTTATGTGGACTAGAGAAAAGCTGGAGTCATCTACCGAGAAGGAGGAATCTCAGCTGAGAAGGGGACTCCATCAGATTGGCCTGTGGGCAAGTCTGTGGGTCATTTTCTTTATTAATGACTGATGTGGGAGGGCCCAGCCCACAGTGGGAGGTGCCACCCTGGTCAGGTGGTTCTAGGTTGTATTGAAAAGTAAACATAGCCATGTAGAGCACCTCCCACAGAGTGCTGGGCCCTCCCATATCAATCATTAATCGTAAATGTTTATAAAGAGTTCCTTACTGTTGGAAGTCTCACTTGATGGGGTCCCAAATTATGTATGGGACCAAGAGACGTGAAAACGCTGCAGGCGGACCTAACCAGTGGAGAGTGGAGATACTAACTTTTTTGGTGCTGAATTTATACTTCTTTCGTCTCAGTTGTGGTTTTGTTGAATGGCGTTTTGATTTGCTTTTATTGACCCTGTATAGTACATTGAAATTCCACGTCCTTTTCACAAGTCTTAGCAATAAGCGAAAGGAGCCTGTCTCCTCAAGCTCAAGTGTGGCATGCTGTTTCAGCCTCCCGTGGATGCCGTCTTTCCTTGCTATGACCCCATTCTTTACTCCCCATTTGGAACCAGAATGTTTTCTCTGTACCATTGTGGGTCTTTTGGTTTTCAGCGGCTCACAGTTAGCAGACAGCTTTGAGTCTCTGAAGAGACTTTGGGACAATGCTGAAAGTGTTGGATTACAGTGATTTCTGAACTGCCTGCACTTTGCATTATGAGATAGCCACGAGTGTATGGAGGCCAGGGAAAGAATGCTACAGTTTGAGTGGGAAATGTCCCTTCACAGGCACATGTTTGAACCTTGGTTCCCCAGAGGATAGTGCTGTTTGGGGAGACTGCGAAAACTTTAGGAAGAAGTGGTTCACAGGGGTAAGCCTAAAGGGTATAGCCTACCCCACATCCAGCCTATTCATCTGTGTTCTGCAGAGTCTGGAGGTGGTGAGATAGCCCAGCCGCATGCCCTGCTGTGGCCTGAGGCCGTGCCTTCCTCATCACGATGGTTTCACACTGTGAGCCAAAATAAGCCCCCTCTCCCTTAAATTGCCTCCTATCAAGTGTTTGGTCATAGCGATAAGAAAGGAAGGCGATTAGCATCAGTCCTCTTTCTGAGGAGACTGTCCTAGTCAGTCAAACACAGCCTGCACTCTGATTCCATCACCTCCCAGCTTCCTCCCGTCTGGAGCGGAAGCACAAAGGAGCTTCCCTGTCCCAAACTGTCATGGGAATGCGTCAGGTGCCCAGCCACAAGGCTCTGTCCTGGGCAGCATCAAGTTGTCAGTTGGCAGATCTTTCTGTGCGGGCATCTATTCGGATCCAGGTTGGCCTGTTATCATCTGGCTTACATTTCTCATTTTGGCTTGCTGTGACAGAATGCAAGCCACTACCAAACATCTGGCTGGGACATAAATAAGAAAGGTTTATTCCTTGTTTTCAAGTAGTACAGCTGAGGTGTACATGGGCCAGAGTAATGATGAGAAAGTGAGTGTTTCTGTGAAAGCCAGTCCCAAGGGATAATTTAAAAAGTGTTCCTTGAATTTTGTAGGGCAGTTTGTCTTCAATTTGTGTCCAGGTTTTAATTTATTTGATGAAGACACAAAAAACATGGTGCTTAAATGTATAGTTATTAAGAAGGACGAAAGATGAAAGAAATAAGAATGCCCTTTGACCCAGAAATCCCTCTTAAAGAGATTAATAATCAGAAAAGTGATAAAGATACATGTTTAAGGACTTTGTCAAGCAACTAGGTATCATGTGATAGAGCATTAAAAGACCATTGAAATAAAATTTTGAAAAATCGTGTTCACCCTAGAACGTTAAATATAAAATATGGTATGTGAGATACAAGGTAGCAGTTTTATTTTGAATGTGTAAAAATCTATTTATATATAATATACACATTCCTAGAAAATCGTGGGAGTGTGTATTTAAAGACAGTAATGATATTATCTCCAAATAACAGAATTTTGGGTGAGTTTAAATTTATCTGTATTTTCTAAAATAAGTGAAATATGGTTAAAAAGCAAAGTTTAAAATGGCTTTAGACATGATACTAAAATCCAGTGTCGTGATTTTACCATGACAAAATTTAATTGGGGTGAACTGAAGTCCCTTAGTTTAGTTTTGTTTTCATTAGCTTGGTTTTGCTTGCTTCTGGGCAGGGCCTGGCTCTGCAGCCTAGGCTGGGCTTGACCAACAGCAGTCCTGCTTGGGCTTCCGTAGTTCTAGGATGACAAATGTCAACCACACACTCGGCTCTTTGCTTAGTTCTTGAGGCCTTATGACTGCACTCTGGCGCATGAAGGGAGGTGCAGAGGCCGACAGTGAGACTCTAGCTCAGACTTTGCGTATCCAAGTGCCTTGAATGAAAGTGGGTATTGCTTATTCTCCTTGTGGTTAATACATATGTGAGGATTAAATTTACATTCTGAATGCAACATTCAATTTTAAATTTAACTATGAGATATATAATATATCCATGTATATATATGATATATATATATATATATATATATATATATATATATATCCATGCATATGTATCTAAATCCGAACACTAACTTTAATTCTTTATCATGTATATACTTCCTATGGTCAAAACTTAATTTTTCTTATGGCAAGATCTACTCTTTCTTCTCATATTTCCAAAAAACAAACTATGATTTTAGTGTTCTGAGAAAGGGACATAGAAGCTCTCTATTGGGGAGATAGGGGGAGTTCAAGCTGAGGAAAGGCATTTGCAGAGAACATGCAAATGAAGTCAAGGTCTCAGTTCTAAAGGCTGAGAGGCAAGCCTTCCTTCCCCTCTAGACATCAGGTCCTTCCCCTCCAAACAAGAGCTCAGAAGAGCTCTCTGTGGGAAATGTGAACACCTGGACCTAAGCGGAGACCATGAACTACATGAGAACAGGTAGATCCCACCATGGACTGGCCCCAAAGTCAGGGAAAGCATACCTCTTCTCTAACCAGGAGAGCTGAGCACTGCAAAGGGACACCCATCATCTTGTGTGGATTCCAGGTCACAGAGTTGGCCCTAATCAAAACAAACAAAACACATTAGAGGGTAGCGCCGCCTATCACACTCAGATGACCGAGGTTCTACACCTGGCGCCAGAGCCTCCCGGCTGTTGTCCTTTGACACTCCAGGATGACACGTGGTCTACGAAGTGCAGCCTTCCGTTGCTCACAGAGGTGGGGGTGGTGAGCACGCTCCCATACGCTTTCCTTCCCCTCACCTCCAATGAACGCATGTGTTTGCCTGTGTGATGGTCTCAGAGCCCTTAGGGTGACGGGGATCACTGAATTCAGGGTTCTGCCTTTAGCCACTCTTGACCAGAGCCCTGGGCAGACGGAAGGGTCATCCTGGTGCTTCTATTGTCCCTTTTCTGACTGCCACAGTGGCCTGGATGAGGAGACATTACTGCATTGATCATCTGTCCTGTCCTTGATGGCCTTTGTCCTACTCGATTCATGAACACACTTCTCACCTGTGTCCTTCCTGAGGGGCCTCTAGTTATTCCCCTGAAGCCAGCTCTCTCCTCTCACCTCATGCTATCTGTGATGAGCAATATGGGCCAATCTACCCTTTCCTTCCTCTTCTGCCTTTCCTTTAGTTTCTCTTTGAAACAGGGTCTCACTACAAAGCCTATGATGATTCAAAGTTGTTATCCTCATGTCTCAGACCATACCTGCCTTATAGCAGAGTTTCCAATAAATTTTGTCCTCATTTATACGAAACACTATGTGCTTTCAGTAACTGTGGCTCTAAGATGCACAGCTCAGGGACTTAAACTGCATTAGGACCATGGTTCATACTTCTTTAATAATGATAATAATAATAATAATATTAACTGTGATTATTATTATTATTATTATTGTTTTTCGAGACATGGTTTCTCTGTGTAATATTCCTAGCTGTCCTGGAACTCACTCTGTAGACCAAGCTGGCCTCAAACTCACAGAGATCCACCTGCCTCTGCCTCCTGAATGCTGGGATTAAAGGCTTGAGCCACCACCACCCAGCAATAATAATAATTATTATTAGCTTAATCTGGATAGTCTTAACTTACTCTCCCTCATCCCTGGGCACTGGTATTATTTTACAGTTTTATTTATTTATTATTTATTTATTCCCTATAGCTCCAATTCCAAATTGCAGCACATGACTGGGGATGCCCCAGGGTGACCTCTGTGTTCAGCCCATACCCCTTCCCTTCCTTTGTGCGTTTCCATTACACCAGATTAATTCTTGTACTCTGAGTATTCTCTATTCTTGGGCCCATCACGCCATTGCCTCTTTCTTGGCTTCACTTGGTTCAATGTTATTTGTCCCTACATCCAGATCCTTAAGGTATCTCTTCAGCCCCATTCAAGTTCCTTTGACTTCTCCCCTCCACTCCCACTGCACTGCTCCGGTCCCTGCCCACGGAAAGCAACCGCTCCTGCCAAGGACTCCATGTTCGTCAAGCAAGCTCAATGCTTGCCAAGATGCTGAAGGTCTTTGGGATGAGGGTCATAGTATGACGTTTGTATAAAGAAAGCCACAAGCCGGGCGGTGGTGGCGCACGCCTTTAATCCCAGCACTCGGGAGGCAGAGCCAGGCGGATCTCTGTGAGTTCGAGGCCAGCCTGGGCTGCCAAGTGAGCTCCAGGAAAGGCGCAAAGCTACACAGAGAAACCCTGTCACGAAAAACCAAAAAAAAAAAAAAGAAAGCCACAAGAGGAAGGCAGGCAGTGGAACAGCCCATAGCAGCTATGTCCAAAGTGCCCTAGCTTGCTGTTCCCCTCACCCCTCCAGATGGGAGGGCTTTGGGAAGTAATGATGAATGACAGATGTCATCTGGCCAGTCAGAGGACACTTACTATACCAGGTATCTCACTTAAGCCAATGAACAGTCCAGCTCAGGGGTCCATTTGGACAGCACCCCTAGGACTTTTACACGTGGCAGATATTCCGCCAACTCCCTGGACAGGACTTCTGTATGTCTACCACTTTCCTGCCCTACCTCCACAGAGAGGGCCACAAACACACCCTACCCTCCACCCAGGCTGGACTCAACTTTCTCCAAGGACGTTTCCAAACATCTCTGCTCTCCAGCTAGAATACCCTTCTTTCATTTCTCCTCACTGGAAGGTGCTAAGTCCCAGTGCTGATGCTTGGCATATGCTTCCTGGAAGGATGAGATATAGGAAGGACCATTTCTTCCTCCATCTCTTATCAGCATGCTTGCCTTGGCTCGCAAGTGAGGGTGAAGGCAATTGATGACTCAGCTCTTTCACTGCAACCCTCAGTGAGCCCTTAAGTCCCCTGGAAGAGTGGACGCAATGTCAGACATGCTCGGGAGTATCTGGGCTCCCAGCAGGCCTTCTGGGATACACTGGCTCTAGGAACGGCAGTGTTAGCAAGAGGGTCATCTGAAGGATTTGGTTCGTTCCCCCAAGAGGATGTGGGATAGCACTTTGCGGTTATGCTGTGAGACTGTCACTCAGGAATGCCCTGAAACCACAGAGGGGCAAGAATGGACCATGGCTTTCTTTTCCCCTTGGAGTGAGTCCTAAACTTTGGCTTGTGATGCTTGGAGAAAAGTTACTTCTCCAATGGAGTCACATTTCTTTCATAAAATTAAGCCCCCACACATTGTACTCCAACGATTTCCACAGGTTCTGTGACCTTATTCACCAAAGAGAGGGCACATCATGCTAAGGATGCTGTGGGATGGCTACCATCTGCTACATGTGCTCAGAGCATGACATGGCAGTGCCCTTATTTCTGAGCATTCCATCCTTGGCTACTTCACTAGGTAAATTTAGTCATAACCTGGTTTTGAGAGTTGTAGCGACAAGAACACAGAGGACTCTGTGTTCCGAGATGAACACTCTGAGCTTTTCTCTCAAATAATAGTCTTCAGTACAAAAGCGTGTGGGTGTTTATTTTTCCGAGGCTCCAGGTGAGTAATTTAGTGAGCTTTCAAGTGGTGGTGGTGGTGGGGTGCCCCACGGTTTTCAGCACTTGCCGAGTGAGGTGGCATTAATGGTAGTATAAAAGATGCTCACACTTTGTGTCAGAAACAGTCACAGAACGGAAGGTGCTGTGTGCTCACTGGCCACTTCTGAAAACTCAGGAGTTCAGTTCTGGGTAGGTGTGTGTGGTACTAGGTACTTGGAAGCACACCTGCTCTCCTCTCCCCCCACCGTGGGCCTTGTAGTCAGAACAAGGACAGTGCTGGTGACTTAACTGCTGTGCCAAGGCCAGGGCTCCTGGCAGCAGACTCAGGGACTGTCATCTCATGATGTGAGACTTGGCTGCTCTGCCCCGACTCTTCCTTAGCCTTATTTCTGCTCATTCAAAGGACACTCTTGGCTCTATCTCCAACCTCCTCCTCCCCCACTTCTACACTCATGGGTTCTGTCTGTGTGAGTCTGAGCCGCCTGGTCTCACACAGATAGATACTCTCTGGTCTGGCCTCTCTGCCCGCTGACAGATGCTCCCAAGCTCCTGAAACCTCTTCCCTGGTCCTGACATGGAACTTGTGCCAAGATGTCTAGGGGCAGAGCCAGGGTGAAGCCTTTCCTGGACAGCATCTGGCTGCTTGGCAGGGCATGGTAGGCAGTTGTCAGCCTCTGATGAATTAAGGCTTTCTCTGTGGTCTGGAGTGGCAGAACTCTCCACTGTAGCTGACCTGCTGACCTGGTTCACTTGCTGTGCTGTCTTGGGAGAACTGGCTGCCCTTTGCATGTGGTGTAGAAGCACAGCCTGAGGCCATATTTTGTATTCTGCATTTCCCCCTTAAACCTCAATATGTTTTATGCTAATCAAACATTACTTCCTTTGTGCTTTGCAGCCTCTTTCAATGGTCTGCTGCTCCAGCCCCACATAAAACTTACTTACTGCATCAATCAGGGCCGTCAGAAAAGGGTTATTGTGGGATGAAGCCAGGAGAACAAAATCACTGGCATGTCTTACTTCAACTCAGCTGACTGTATCTGATCCCAAACATAACTTTTGGCATTACAAATGGTAAAGGGCAAAGTGTTTACCTGCTTTGAGAAACTATTCATTGCTTTCTTTAAAGCCATGGATGTTATTCTTATGGTAACATGAAAGCTATAGTTCTCCTCCCTAGAAAAATGTGGACAGCCTGCAGGTTGTAAATTCATGGTGGTTGATTGCAAGATGTCAGGAATGAACTCTAGAAATAAACCCTCAGTTTTGAAAGCCATTTGATGTGGGATTTGATTTTTTTTTCTTTTGTTGTTACATACAGGCAAGGCTCACAAGTACAGGCAGGGTGGGCTTGCTGGCATCCTGAGACTCCCTTAGAAGTGGAGTGCCATTTTCTTTTATGTAGCTGTTAACATTCTACATTACAGACTAGGAAATTACGCGTACCTCTCCACCCCGCTCAGTTTCCACTTGTGCTTCCGGGACATCAGTAATCCTCCACCCCAAGCTGCCTGAAATGACAAAACAGAACAGTAAGAATGTAGCACCTTTCCATGGCCTCAATTTCTAGTTTGGTGTCTTCCATATTAATGGGAATGTCATAGTATGAAAATGACCTTCACAGTTCCATGTAGATTAAGGGAGTGGACCACCTTCTCCTAATAATGTGAGGTCTTTAAATTTCAAGGTGAGAAGTCTCAGACTCCATCTTACATTTATATATTATGTGTTTATAATTATCGAGTCAAATTGGAGACACATTTTTCCAGTCTGCATGAGTGGGAGAAAGATCGCCTCCCCAGCCCTTCCTGTAGTTTTTAAGTTGTTGCTTTAGAAGGCCCATGCTCTCAGAATGAGAAAGCCTATGGTTGCCACAGTTGGAGTAGGTAAGATGGGCTGGGGAACCATTAAACAGGTTCCATGTTGAAAGCCAGAATGACCCGGGTCAATGTTACCTGCAGTTTTAGCTTACAGCAGCATAAGGAGTTTGCACCTGAATGTGTAAAACTTATCACTTCCTTTATGGAGAAAATATTGCAACAAAAAAGATCAGCCGAACTAAACATTGTGCCATTGGTGATGGTTTGTGGTTGGTTGTTTATCACAAATATCTCACCATGGAGCATTAGCAAGTACTTTGTAGATGGCAGCTGATCTTCAAGTCACACCAAGTAACACACTCAATTTAAATCCCTTCTGTTCAGCCTTGTAAAAATGGACATATTTTCCGTTAGAAAATGGTGATGAAGTTTCTTTAAATTTTGGTGTCATTAGACTTTGGGTCGAAACATCTCAAATATAGTCCAGCTTTTTAGTTTATCAAATTAACATATTGGAAATTTGGTAATCCATATTTCCTAGTAAGTTGTCAAGCCTGCTTTTTACCCACTAAATATATGCTTATCTAACTTGAACTTGCATTTTATAATACTGTGGGTTTTGTTACAAATGTAAATCCAAATTATACCTATAAGGGAGATCTGCATATGTGTGACTGTGTGTGGGGGAGTGACTTTTAGCCAGGGACATTATGGGTCAATAAATTGAGAACCAACCTCAAGTACTGGGCATGTCAATAATATTTTCATGTTAGGAACCTTAATGCATAATCAGTCTCAGGCTCTTTCTAACCAATATTACACACTGTGTAAATTCTGTGCTTCTGAAATCTTTAAAATTTGAGATTCCATAATTCTAAATATGAGAGAGGGGAGGGAG